GTGCAGGGACTGCCTGCAGCCGCCGGTGAAACCACATCGGCGGCGGGGGGGAGGAATGGTAACTGCCCACAGAAGCCGGCAACAGCTTCAGCAGTGGCCAATCTCAGGGGGTCACGTGCCCCCTCATACGTTGCCTATGGATGTACCCACAGTGACCTAGTGATGGTCAAGCTGGTGTAATTTGGACCATCACTTGAGTGGACCATATGACGTTCCCAAGGATTTTTTATTGAAAAGCTTTTATATTTGTGCAGTTTAGCTCAAATAATCTAGGATCTCCTGAGTCTTCTTGATGAGGCTTACAGGAAGGCACACAGCTCCAAGGCCAGAGCAAGTCCCTGAAAGAGGGAATGAATTGGACAAGATGAACAACAACTTCCAGCTCTGAAGCAGTAGACTTAATTCCAGAGAGCAAAAGATCCCTGATGTGTTCTGAAGATCTTTATCACAAGAATGAATTCACAGGAGGTCCTATTACATTACAGTTTGCTCAATGTACTACTAAATTTAGAAAGTGTGACAGGGGACTTATAGGGACTTACAGGAGAGTGGAGTCTGTGTAGATGTGCTTTGTTTCTTTAAATGTAGCAGCAGGGCAGGCAGAAAGGCTGGGAAAGATTCTAAACAAAAATGCAAAAAGGAAAGCAAAAAAAGTGTGACAAACTGAACTATAAAGAAATATTGTCCCCTCATTCTAATCAAGTTCCTTGTTCAGTTTTGGAAGAAACCACTCTGAAGTTCTTTTCTGTTGCCATATGATTGTCCCATGCAACAGGGGTTTGACTCCAGCATTTTGATTTGGCCTATTATACAGGTATAGGGTGTCTAAAATATGCAGATACCTCTCAGGTTTTTGAGTGTTTGGAACTGGAGTCTGGATTTGGGCTGATCTCTAAATTATGCATGTTAAATAACTCCATTTAAGATTCCACTTGTTTTTTCTTATTGGCAGTAATTTCCACTAAAATAATTTAGATGCTTTCTAAACACTCAGGAGGGACTGTCCTTGATCTGAGGGTCTCAAAATTATAGGAATCTATTCAGATATGAATAAAGTATATTATTACTAGCGGAAGGGCCTGTTCTTCACCTGGGTCATTATTTTTGTAACTAGCCAATTGCCTGTTATGAATAACGGAGTGTTTCAGGGAGTGTTTACACACTCCTTTATTCACATAGCTGGAGATACAAGTTGAACTCCCTGGATTCTTTTCGCATTAGAGTATCACAGCATGAAGCTGTGAAGGACTCTTCAACAAGTTGTCAGCTGTTGTAGGCAGCCACATCAGATAATTCCTTTCATAAACTGATCACTAATGTGGGTTTTTTCCTCCCTACTCTAACAGAAGGCTGTTCCAGGACCTTGGTCATAAATTAGTTGGACACTTTCTTATTTTCAGTCTAAATGTATTCATAGTCAGTTTATAGCCACTTGCCTTTGTGCTAGCATGATCCTTTAGCTGAAGTAGCTCTTCTCCCTCCCTAGTGTTTACTCCCTATGTATGTACAGACAGAAGTCATATTTCTTCTCAGCCTGCCTTTTGGCATGTTCAGCTAGCCAAGCTGAGGGGCAGTTCAGCCCTTTTGTGGGAACTGAGTCTTGTGGGATTTGAGTCGTATGTGTGAAGGTTATTCAAATGAGATGTGGAGAAAAAATCCTGGTGTTGCCTACACTCCGTGAACTTTAAAAGAGCTTATGGCACCTTTTTTAAGAAGCCAACATTTCCATCTTCTGCCACTTTAGAAGTGTGCTGCATACCAGTTCATTGTTGCCATCTGCGCTGGCACCTTCATTGGTGGTGGAGAGATGCAAGTTTTTAAGATCCTGAGTGCACAGACCTGGGTCTGATTAAATCCAGCGGGACCATTATGTACTTAAAGTTTGTCATGTGTATATTGCTTCCCTGGAGCAGGACAAGAGCACTCGTGAGACTGTTTATCATTTGTGAGATCCTCCCAAATCCTTAAAATTATACATAAATGGCAAATATTAATGTAACAAAAGGGAAGGCAGTTCTCTGTTCCAGTTTGTATGTGACCTGCAACATTAATTAAAGGCCACTAAGGACAGAATAATGATACTTTCCCTTTTTTTTATTATTTGTATTACAGTGGGCCTGTTACACCAGGCACTAAAAATACACAGTGTGAAATCAATTCCTACCCCAAAGAGCTTCCCGTCTGTGTAGCCTGGACAGATAAATGATGGGAAGGAAACAGGCGCCCAGAAGTTAATTGATTTGTCCATTTTCACCTAGTAGGTCAATGCAAAAGCCATGCATAGAAGCAGAGCTTCCTGATTCCCCATCTAGTGACCTCTACCACTTGTGACATGCTACAAAGCATGACTAGAGCAGCTGAAAGCATCTTAACATGCAGAGGCAGAGTTCACTGCAAGGCAAAAAAAGTGTGCTGTCCCATTTATTGTGAGAAGGCAGGGTAGATACGGACCTTTACAGTCCAATTAAATAACGTATATATGGCATATGGAGAGAGCACAAGCTTACATGAATCAACAGCATCTATGGAAGTGAACTTAGGTGCTCTGTATTATTTAGTTAGCCTGTAAAGGTGCATGTCTACTGACTTGAGCCTGACACACCAACTACCTTCTCTGACCATTTATCGTGTCCACCCTCTGGGAGCTGCAGAAGCAGAGTTTGAAGAGGCTCCTTTTGCAATGCAGCTGCCTCGGCTTTAGATACCTCAGGCCTCAGCCTCCCTGTTTCTGCCAAGCCCCCTTTTGAAGGGCTAAAAAACTTACAGGATGGCAACCTAACAAAGCGTGAAACCCAAGCTGCGTTTTTCCCAGCAAAATGAAAGTCCGCAGAGGCTGCCCGGGAGAAGGGGAGAAATGGGGGCCAGACACTTGCTAGGTGACACTGGTTCCTCGCGGGAACCCCTGGGCTGCCACTGTCCTGAGCAGCAGGGCGTAGGGGCAGGTGCTGGGAAGCCAGGCAGCCCAGCCCAGCCCAGCCCAGCCGCGGGGCAGCGCGGGGAGCAGGGGCTGGTGCGGGGCAGCGCGGACAAACGGCGACAGCGGGGCGGCGGCCGCGTGCGT